TGTCCCCCCCCCCCAGACACACGTGTCTGATGCCCCCCCCCCCCGAGACGTACGTGTCTGATGCTCCCTCCCTGAAACGTACGTGTCTGATGTCCTCCCAGACGCACGTGTCTGATGCCCCTGAGACACACGTCTCTGATGCCCCCCCCCCCCCTGAGACGCACGTATCTGATACCCCTCCCCCCTGAGACGCACGTGGCTGATAGCCCCCCTCGGAGACGCACGTGTCTGATGGTCCCCTCCGAGACGCACGCGTATAACGTCCCCGAGTCAAAGGCGTTTCGGGTGGGTTCGAGTCGCAGCATTATTGGACGAAGTAACTGTGCCCAGCTCGCGGGAGGCGGCCCAGCGGACTTACGGGAAGCTTGTAGCCTTTTTGTACTGTTGACTTTTGTCAGGTCAGACGCGTCTAATTTTATTGCTAATACTAGGTTTCCCAAAATACAGACAAGCATAGATTTTCAGATGGCAGCATCGACGGGATAAATGTAATTGATGTCCTTTCGAATGAAACGTCATACCGTGAAAGTCATACTTTCCATTCAATTTCATATGCACACATTTTTCCTCGCATGTATCATGTAAGGTTTGCAATGGTCGTGTTGTGCGGAAGCGAATGGAAGCGGTCCTGTTGAGAGTGGTGTAGAAAAACTATATCATGTTCCACACACTAAATGACATAGTTACGCGTCAACTGAAATGGAGAACCGCATTGTGTCATTATTGTGGCCTTTTCTGCGAGCATTCTATTAAAGAGAGCGTAAAATGTTGCTGCCACTCGCCGAACATTACGCTGTCCCTGTTCAGTGATTATTCTGAAAGGTGTCATGTGTAAACATTATGACAACATGGTATGCGTGAGCTCTGTTTAAAGGGAATGTTTTACATTCAAATATATTGAAGCAAGAAGTAGATGTGATGAAGCAGGCTCACTTATAACCATTGGCATGCTTTTGAAGTTGAAAACTCTGTTATATACAGCACAATTCTCTGTTTAGTAAATCCGCTCCTCAATTGCGTCATGGTTTGATTACGTCTTTGTACATTATACGATTTTGATTGATAACCAGTGCACGGCCGTCATATCTGGTAATCGCGCTCACAGACGACAGACATGAACGCCTCGACAATTATATTTTTGTTGGCCTTGATCGCCACATGGCTTCTAGAATGGCAAGACTTTAATGATGCAATTATGTCGTCATGAATATCCAAAACTTTCGAAATGCATCCACTGAAATACTTTCTCCCAGTTTCGCGGGCATGTAGCTCGAAAACTAGCGGGCTCACGTCTTAAGAACCACAGGATTGTGAGCAGCGCCAAAAGGTCTTCAAGATGACGATTTCAGTTCAAAATGCCATATGCGTGTGGAACACTCCCTTTAACTGCGTGCCCAATGGTGTGCAAAGCGGTCCAACTTAAGTCTGACAATTTGGATAACACGGGCTCTCTACCTGTGTTGACATTTGAAAAGACCGTTCGATCAGGCGCGCTTTTAAAAACTAAAAGACAGACCACTTGCAGCACGACGATCAAAGCGTGGCGTACCTGCCTATCTTTGAGTTTGCGGACTGAATGCGCATCGTTCCCATTAGTGAAATTGATGCCGGGTTTTTCGAAGTCTACTGCACACCTTCAGTATAATACAAGTAACGTACCAGATATGCAATGTTGTGCCAAAAGTAAACTTTCTTGTAATATTTCCACCCCAAGACTGAAAGCAGCGTGGCGCAGATGTCACGACAATTGACGCATTTCGAGCCTAAAACTAGTGCTTTGTCCAAAATGTTTGCAAAAAGCTCCTAAGGAATTGAATGATGCATTGCACTGAACTTACGTATCGGCCATTACCAAATAATCAAGATACTCCATGGGAAAAATTTAGCAGGGGATGGACTGGACTATAGTCCAGGACTATGGACTTCATGGACTCCATGGACTATAGTCCAGCCTCGGGCGCGCGACATCCCAGTGGTGGACCCGGGACTTTACGGACCGCGACACAGGCTGACACTGGAGTATGTGCCTCGAAATTTGGAAAATTCACGGCCCATCGTGCGATCATGTTTGGACCCTGTATGCCATGAGGTTTTAGCGTCCTAGATAAAATAGGGCCAATGGACTAGTGCAGGATAGTGAAACCATCTTTCCTTTGGTGCCGGGTTAATCGAAATTGGCAAAATAGAATTCGACCTACGGTTATGCGAAAGCAGGACTTTGATATGTGACCCTTATGAACCAGTAGGAAAAATATGTCCTGGAGGGGCTGTGCTGCCAACGTATTTCGAGAGAGGGGAGGGGGGGGGGTACATAGAGAGATCGATTCCAGGACTGCTCCAACATAATTTCAGTCATCATTTTTCCCCCTCTTCCAGGCCATGGGCTGTCAGTTGGATCTCCCAAGCTGAAAAAGGTGTGTCGGTGCTTAAAACCAACGTTTTCTTCGGAGTTTCACTAGCCATCCAGGGCTCCGTGCCGCCGCGTGTTAACTTTAAAGTACCAGTACACACCTCGTAGTGTTTCTGGTGGGCAGATACAGTTCACTTATATCAACCAAATCAACACCCTTCTTTCCAGGCCGCTCTAAAATTTGCAATAACTAACGGGATAAATTGTATTAAGACTGGAACACCTTAGTAAAGCCATTTCCACGAAGCCCAATAACGCATACCATTCTTGGAAGAGTTCAGAAATTGTGTTGCCTTGCATCAAAGGTAACAAGAAAATTAATGTGAGACATTCGTTTATTTCATTTTTAGGACATAAGCATTCCACACGCAAAAGCCAAATTATGCAAGCAGCCCGGTTAAAAATGCGAATAAAGACATGATACAAGAGCAATTATAACACCTAACCAAACACACACACACACACACATGCATATTACACACGGTCGCTTATCAAGTCATCAGGATAATGTTCTACGTGTGCCGCCGAACCTAAACAAATCAGATCGAAACGATGTTGTTGGTTGAAAAAGTCAGCGGAGAGAGAATGCTACAAAAGTGATTCCAGACAGCGGGTAGTCGTGCAACAAATCCATTTTGAACAGTGTTGACCCTTGCAAATGACTCTTGGAAAAGGCCGATGTGCCGCGAACGCCGGACGGTTGTAGCCAGACTGAATAGTGATGCCAGGTGGGCGCATTCGAGCCTGTGATGATATATATTTTATAGAAATAAGATGTCAGACTAAGCAAAGCGTGCCTTGATAAATGGTGTTTTGAAGAAAGCGAGAATATGTTCATAATGCAGTGGAGGACACCGGGACTGGCTACTTCAACCCAACCACATGAGAAACTGGTGTTGGAGCCTTCCGAACGGGGCGAGATGGGAAACGGCAGCATCGCTCAAAAGAACGGTACCGTGCTGTATCAATGGTCTCACATGAGCATTGAAGGCATGAAGCATACAGCCTTGTGATTGAACCGCGCTTGACGAGGGCACGACGGCATTTGCACGCTTTGTATGAGAAGCTCCAGCATCCTGCTTGCTTTTGAGACAGTTGCATATACATGATTGACAAAGGTGGGTTTAGTGTCCAGGAAGACGCCAAGATCACGAATCTGCTGGCAGCTATCCAAGCAGTGACCGGACCCCTTCTTGTGCACCGGTATTACATTCCCTTGCTTCCACGTGACGGGGTAGAAGCCAGAGTTTAGAGAAAGCTTGCATGTTATCTCTAACGGATAAGTAGTAGCTCCTCGGCACATTCCCTGAGAATCCGTGCTCTGATGTCGTCGTGACCAGAGGCCTTGTGGGCACTGAGATCGCGTAGCAAGTGTGCTTTACGGCTATGCGGTGCGGTAAAGCTCTCTAATCCAGGCGCAGCGAGCAAATGGTGGGTCAGGCAATATACGAACGTCAGAGTCGCAGAACTTACGAGCAAAACACGGATTCAGACATTTGGCACACAGTTGTGACGGTATCCTGATGTGCCTGGCTGTGATGGTATCCTGATTTGCCCGGCTGTGATGGTA